AACCTTTTTTTTCCGTGAATCCTCTCACAAATGTTCTTATCTATTTTAGCATGCCAAAAAATAAGAATAATCTGTACCTTCTTTGCACATGGTCTTCCAAAATATTCCACACTATGAGGCATTCTTCGCTCCTTGCAAGAATAGACAAATTCCAAGAATTCAAGGATCAGGTAGTGATTTTTAGAAAAATTGCATCGTCACTGGCCTATAAAATTAAAAAAATAATCATCATTCACCAAGGTCACACTCAAAATGAATTGTAAAAATTTCTGAATTTTATAAGTTGAGCATGCATGCTCAACTTATAGAAGCTGCGAAATTTTTGTAGAATAAATAATATTGTTAAACAAACGAAGAAAATTGAGAAAAAATTACGTTTTTAAAGGATGTTTATTTATTTCATCCTTTAGAATTTTCTAACGAATTGGTTTCGTCAATTTAATTTTAAATTGACGGGAAATTTGCAACGCCGCAAACTGAAACACATAATTCGCTACTCTCACCTTTGCTTTTGACTTCAGTCAGAGAAATGTAATCTTTTTTGCGGTTTTCTTTCCTCTGTCTCTTTTCCGCAGAGCTGTGTCCGTGAATTCAAACTTCTCCTTCATACAAAAGAACCAGAATCCTGGTCAAAATTTGAAGAAAGCTCGATTTGAAAATATGATTGCTGCTGTCTTTGGTGACACGACGACAGTTCTAATATCCCAGAAATGGTAGTTTTCAATTTGGGAGATTCAGCATGTCCTTTTCGATATAGCTAAGTGTAGAATGATTGTGACAATTAAATCAATCATGTTTACCCATCGAAGGCCAAAGTGTGAAATCACGTACCTCCGTTATGTTGAAGGTATCCTGTCATGCTATATTTTTGCTATAAAAAACTAGTCAACGTAATTTCTTGAACACCTCCTCGATTTTTCCTAATAAATTTCAAGCTGTTAAGTTGACTTGTTTCATTTCGAAAAAATAAAATAGGAGCGGGAATTTTAAAACACCGCGATGGAGGCACGCAGGGGCGGATCCAGCAATCTGGCAACACAGGATTACCTCCATTCAAACCTATGTTAAATAATCGATTCTTCTCGGAGCACCTGGCCCCTTCAAGAATAGATACATTTCCATAGGTTTATATGGAGAAAATACAATGTTGCCAATTTGCTGAATCCGCCAGTGGAAGCACGTGGTTTTGCGCTTCAGCCATCGTCATATTTCTTGGGCACTGTTTAACCTGTATCTATAGCTCAACAGCCAAGAAAACATGAAAAATGTAAAAAGCCTTAAATTTTCTCGGACAAGCCGACAACTGCGAAAGTTCCGAGAAGAAGTAACAGGATCTACTCGCGTGGGTGCTGGGACTAATCCATAATAATCAGTGGTATGGCGTGCTTTGCGAGCTATCGATTGATCTGTCATTTAAATCTATGGAAAAAGATCGATAAACAGGGTGTTCGCAAGGAACACTTTTATAATCGATTCTTTACCACAGCTTCAAAAGGGGAAATATCGATGATCGATCATTCACGCCACACCACTGATGATAATGGTAACGGTGCGTCAAGTTTACTGTTTAGTTGGGACTACTCGCGTTGACACGAGCATGAGGTTCCTGGTTCACCCTTATCTAGACGGAAGAGATCCACCCAGCATCTCATCTGAATCGAATTTGTCCATTATCTGATGAGCCCCAGAATCAACCACTTTTATATGAGCTGAAGGCTCGTCAGGAAATCGACTTGTTGGATTGTGTATCGACTGATTCAACTAGCGGTTAACTCGAAGCGCAAACGCAGTTTGGATATGAGAGGAATGACACAGTCACTCCACTCTGAGAGCGAGCCAAGGAACTGCACTAAAGCGAACTTTGCAGGAAACAGCGGGTTGGTTATTGGCATTAATAGACTAAACGATATGCAAGGAAGACAAATGGGAAATGGAGCTATCCTATTGGTGGAAGCGTGTGGTTACGATGGATAAAGGAGGTGAGTTATATAGATCAACTAATAGCAACGCACGAAAAGCATTCAGAATTTTTTCCTTTATACGAAAAACCTGTATCAATCCATAGAATCGTTCCTCAATCCATTTGCTTTCTTTGCCTACCGCTTTGTCTATCAATTTCAAAAAGTAGCCTGCTGGATAGGAGCTCGAGCTCCATTCTGCCCAGCCAAGGAGGAACGCCTCATATTTCGGACACTGGAAATCCTTTTGACTAAATAGGTAGTAATTTTTGTAAAAAAAAAAAAACTTTAAAAAACTTGTAAAAAANAAAAAGCCCCCCCCCCCCCCCCCCCGGATTCGCCTATACAGTACGGGTAGTTTGGATCACCTCGTAGTGATCGGTAGTCAACGAAGCGGTAATGCCACCTTAAATACTTACTTTGACATCTCAGCAGCATTCTGCCGAGCTAAGGAAGAACGCCGTATGAACATTCGAGAGTTGCCAAGTTTCCTTCGATGAAACATCCATTTTAAAGGAGAGTAATATCTATTTTTCCTTGAAATTTTCAGGACCTTTAGGTGAAATTGCGAACAACGGTATCATAAAAATTGGAAGAAAACTATTCATAAGTTTATACCAGGAGATTCTTGTTTTATCGATCGAAATTTGGCAACGCCTGAAGGTTCATACGGCGTTTTTCCTTAGCACGGCAGCATTGTCGTGATCTCGTTGCCTTATTAATGCAAAACTCTGACCATTTCGTCCGTGCGTTTCATGAGGTTGGATTGTTTTTCCTGTTTTGTTTTTTGTTTTTTTTTTTGTTTTTTTTTTTTGTTTTTTTTTTTTGTTTTTTTTTTGTTTTTTGTTTTGAGTGAAGGGAGGTGCAGGTCGCCCAGCGCCGAAGGGATGAAATTGCACGGACTGGGTGACTGGCCGACGACGGTGAAGGGTGCGATATCGGGAAAACAATAATGCGAGAGGGATGATTTACGGCCTGTCTTGGGGCTCTGCTCTTTGATGAGCTGGCGGCAGCGGCCGCGACGGAGGTTTCAAAGGCCCCGATTCCATTTACACTTGCCGGAATGGACTGATTTTGTTTCCACCGAGCACTCTGCCGTGCTAAGGAAAAACGTCGTATGATCATTCGGGTGTTGCCAAGTTTCCTTCGATTAAAACCGAATTTTCTAGGAAAATTGCAAATATTATTTTCTAAAATTTTCAGACAATTTTGTGCGCAATTGAATCTAAAATATCTGAAAATTTCAAGGTAAAATAAACATGAGTGTTGTCGAAAATGCATGTTTTATTAAGGGAAATTTGGCAACTCTCGAATGTTCATACGGCGTTTTTCTTTAGCACGGCAGCAGTAATCGGTCACAAGATTCTCAACAAATCCGCGATGTTCTTCGGCGAGGTTGTCAAATAGTGGAAAACGGGGTCTGCCGCAAGCGTATTTGATGTGTAGCAGAGTCGGACTGGCCATCGGCAAATACGCCCTCCTGACGCATCAAAGACGCGCCCCTCTGTCAGATACAGCAAAATAAGAGAGAAAAAGTTATGACCGAGGGAAAATGCGGAAAATTCATAAATGAACGGGAGAATAGAAAGTAAGAGTGAAGTAAGGTCCTCGTACGCATGATAGTGGTGAATGGAGGTCCTGAAACCAGACATGGGAAATAAGGAAAATGCTGGAAAATTGATGTTTCGGTTTTTCTTTATTTGCTGAATTAAGATTATTTCGTATCCGTAGCTCAATTTTTGAAGAAGAGAATGTCAAAAATTTGGACATACTAGTTTAATGAAGCTGTAATGAATGACAATTATTTCACTCACTAGCAGACATTCGATTAAATAAAGTGCAAACTTATGCTATTACGCTTCATTGCTTTTAGCTTTCGCTATTGCGCGAAAAATTGGGCACTCTCCGTACTAACATTAGCTTTGAGGTATTGAAAATTCTTCTCGATCACAATTTTTGAAAAGAGGATGATGAGCGTCATTAAGTGGGGAAATCAAAATAGCTCTCGAAAGATCGGTAAAAAATTCTTTTCTTCGAAATTTTCACATTTTTGGTAACATAGAGAAGCTTTATCACCCCCCCCTCTCTCATCCGCCATGTGTCACCCTCTCTAGTACAATCAATTTTTAGACGTTCGCTCTTTTAACAGCTTGAGACACCTCTAACATTTTTTTCTTTTCAAAATAATAACTGAATAGGGCATATCCTATTTTCGGCTTCGTTGCTCACGTAGCCCTTGAAGCATCACAACAAATGAAACAAACGAAAGTGACACAATATGGAAATAGAGCAAATGGAAAGACGGCGCAGAGATACAACTATTCGTGTTTGCTGGATGTCTGTGTTGCATCTACAAAATTGAAGGCGAGATGGCGCGAGCTGTGAATTCGTGATGTTCCGCAGCTCCGCTTCATGTTGCGAATGAGGTGTCGTGCGAAAAGTTCGGAAACGAGGCTCGATTATTACGGCTCTCCGATTTAAGGCTGTGTTGCTCATACATTCTTTACAGCACCGCTACACATACAAATAAGACGAACCGAAACAAACACAGTATGGAAATAGAGCAAAGTAAAAGGAGGCGCGTTGATGACGGCGCAGAGATACAACTATTCGTACATGATGGATGTCCGTGTTGCATCTGCAAAATTGTAGGCGCGATGGCGCTAGGCGTGAACTCGCAATGCTCCGTTCTATGCTGCCAGTGAGGTGTCGCTCAGTTTCGAGAGACAAATTTAAAAAACTAGGCCCGATAACGTCTCGACTTTGTTGTTCCTTAATTTTTTCTTCCTCTTTCAATTTGAGGTTTGATTCTTATTTTAATGTACTTACAAACCTACATCTACGGCTCGTATGTACCGCGGTCCCTTACAACACGCGTGGCACGTTTTATAAGACAATTTCAAAGTCTAGAAGGTAAACCTCTCCCCTCCCCCACTGTTTCTTGAGAGCTACGCCCGTGGGTGAGCTCCTATGATGATTATAATGGTGTTTTCGGCTGTATATTATTTTCAAATTCCTAATGTTCGTTCCTTCCGCTTTCAGGCAAAACGCGAACGAAAGACAAATACAGGGTTGTCTACACTGATCAACAGAGGCTGGAACTGGAAAAAGAATTCCATTACAGCCGATACATCACCATCAGGCGCAAAGCAGAATTAGCAAGCACACTTGGCCTCTCAGAACGACAGGTGAGTTTTATTGGACAAGTGAATTTTACATTTTTAATTTAAAATTCTCATGAAGTGAATGGACTAAATTCCGCAATGCAGACCTAATAGTTCTGGCTCGTTTTAGAAACCATGTTTATGCCGTAAGTTTCCCTAAGCAGATAGGTGCCTATATAGTCACCTTTCGGCCAAATTATCATAAGCACCATGCGACATTTCAAAATTTCCTCCGCCATTTTATTTTTTTACAGAGAAATTATTGGTCGAATCTGTTTGAAAATTTCACTGAATTTCTTCGGCAGTACAAAGAAAATTCGGTAAAATTTTCGGACGGCTTTGTTAAACAATTTCTCTGTAAGAAAATAAATTGGCGGCGGAGGTTTTTAAACGTCGCATGGCGCTTGTGATATTTTAGCCGGAAGGTGATACATGGATGAGCACGTCGTTGCAAAACTAATTCCAAATATCCTCTAACCACACGAGATGCTGCTTAATTTGTTTTCTGATTTTTCAACTCTTGAACAGTAAACTAAACAACACGGAACTTAAAATTTTTTGAGTCTTTTCCTCTTTATAGGGTGGATTGAGAAATATTTTAAATGCTTCGTGTACCTAGTTTTAATCCTCCTATCAAAGCATAAAAGATGAGAAAAATTAAGCAACGTCAAAAGCAGTTCGGCTGGTTCCTGTTGGAATGCAAATGATTTTTTCTTTCCTGATTGTTCAAGATTTTTCGCTATTTTCTCGCGACTCCAACACGACTGTGCTGAAGGAGTGCGGCATTATGAGCAGATGGACGATTCTAAATCGTTTCTCATAAACAATACGAATTACGAACTACCCAGAAAATTTGTAAATATTTTCCCATGGATTTTCTAGAGATTTAACACATTGATAGATAAACTTCTTCAAAAAAGAATTTTGAAATTGGACAAAATATGGCAACATTCAATAGCTCATACGGTGTTCCTCTCCTCCATCTGGCAGAATAAAACTCAAGATACGCCTTGCCTAGTGAGTTAACTCGTTCCAACGCGTCTTAAAAATCGCCTTCAAAGTTAGGCTTATGCATCCTGCCACAACGATCGCAACTGCTGTAATGTACCCACAAAAATTGTTACCGTTCAGAGGCAGAGGATACTTTGAAGAGATCCTACGTCGTTTTTTTGGGGCGTTAATTATGTTATACCAAATCGGTTAAGTTCCCTTAACAAGTCTTTTATGGGCAATAATGTCACTTTCTTTTCTTCTCTCTCCTTTCCTTCTCACTGAAAAAATATGGTAGATTTTACCATACTCTGACACAGTGATACGAGTATGGTAATAAACACCAGAAACTATGGTAGCATTTATTATATTCTTTTAAGTATCAGCAGAGTTCTAGTGAATACTGCCGTAATTCTAGTTATTTTCACAAAATAGTATAACTGTGTAAAAAATCAAGTAGACTTACGGTAGATGTCACAAAAATGTTTTCTCAGTGGATGTTCATTTTGATGGAGGCTGCAGTCGCATTGGTACATATTTCACAAAGTTAGGCACTATGATAGGCCTTGGCAATGCATACGAGAAGACGGCTAATAATTTCGAGGAAACAAATCAATTTAAAGGAAATTCATTTAACACTTTTCATCCCCTGAAAGCCTCTTTTGGGGGTTTCCACTGTATTATTTGTCATTTTCAATCGCATCTCGGGCACCTTCTCGTTTGGTATACGAACCAAAATCTATCCGGCAGCACAAGCGGCTGCCTCTAGTTTTCTCTTGAAATAATGTGACGCTATGTTCATTTGCACGAATTTGGAACATTTTTTTTTTTTGTTTCAGGTCAAAATATGGTTCCAAAACAGAAGAGCGAAAGAAAGGAAGCAATCGAAGAAACGAGAGGAGCTGATTTTCAAACACTGAAACCACGAATCAAGTTTGAGAACTGCAATGTGATAAGGTTATTACTCGACTGAAGCTGCGTGAAAACTGTGTCGACGTCCAATTTGCAATTCGTTTATGTTTCCTACGAAAACTCGACGGAATCGCCACCAAAATCGGCACATTTCCAGTCGCGATTCTTGAAAGTTGGTAAAATTTTCAAGAAACTTTCAACAACTTGCAAAATTGCCACATGGAAAAGATTAAATTGCTGATCTAACCATTCAATTGCTAAAAAAAAGTGCGACTGCAATGTTTCAATGTAGATTTCACAACAAAAAAATGCTATTTTAACCACCCCCGTGGTTGAATTAGCTTACAATAGTGGTTAAAGTAGCATTTTTTTGTTGTAAAATCTACGTTGAAACCTTCCAGTCACTTTTTTTTAGCAATTGAATTGTAAAATCAGAAATTTAATTTTTACTGCACATTTCTCGCAATTTTTGCCAGCCGAGTACGACCAAATTCTCAGATCTTTTGTTGTACACTTTCCAGGCTTGTTTCCAACCTCTTTGTAAAATCTGTACATATTGCGCTACCTCAATGTAATTGTAAAAACTTAATGCCCAAAGTTAAAGTGGAATTTATATTTTGTTGTACTCGACGAAATTTTTGTTACATTGTTAGGAAATGAGTGGAATTACCCACTCTCGCACATGTAAATAGACGGATAATTCTGCTAGCTTGAGGATCGATTTATCGAAAGAATAGTTATTGATCGTTGGATTAGTTATGCGTTGAATGCGTCGAATAGTTATATTGCTGCTTTTTGTGATTACCATAATAAGTCATTCTGGAGAAGTTTCATCTGATCTGTATAAAATTCATACAGCGTTCAGCGATCATGGATGGATAAAAACTCCATACTTCCCTTCCCGTGCTAACTTGCTCTACACAGACTGTGAAAAGTGTTTATTGTCTATATGTTACAGTATTTAGATACACCAAGATCCAGTTGCGTGGCGTGAATTGCGATGTGTCGATTGTTATGCCATTTAAACCTATGGAAAAGGATCGATAGACAGGGTGTTCGCAGCGAACACCTTAATAATCGATTCTTTATCATAGGTTTAAATGGCATAACAATCGATACATCGCAATTCACGCCACGCCACTGCCAAGACCCCTCTACCCCGATCCCCGAATAACGCCCAGAGTAAATAAACATCGAATCATTCATATATATATTAAAAAATAAGTCTCAATTAGACACCGATTTGAAAAAACTGACTGATGCTGGTTCACACCTAAGTTCACTTTGCCACATAGTCTGCGTTTTTTAATAATCACGTTTTCGCCTATTGAGTCAGCGCTACCGAAACTGATGAATATTATTATTTTATTCTCGATAAAAAACGAGGATTTTGTTCTCCATGTTCCTGAACTTCCAATGAGTGACAGATTCGCAGGTAGCTGGAGTCCCGAATTTAAATGAACAGGTCTATTAGACAGTTGAATACTGGTTCAAGTTGAAAAAAGACGCATATCTTATTCAGTCCGAGATCTATTTTAAGAAAAACAGAGTAACTCATCTCTCTTTTCGTGAAAAAGCAGTCGGTAGTAAGCTGTCTCACGTGCCACGAGCTTTAATGGTAAAAATTGATAACAGACTTGGTTATCATCATCGTGGGAACCAGTGGCGTGGTGTGAATTGCGATATATCGATTGTTATGTCATTTAAACCTAGGATAAAGAATCGATTATTAAGGTTCCATAGGTTTAAATGGCATAACAATCGATACATCGCAATTCACGCCACGCAACTGGTGGGAACTGGATCACAATTGGACATATTTCTATCAAATGGAACTAAGCGCCAATTTGAGTTCCTTTTGAGGAATCTAGGATCCCGGATAGCGCGTTCTCTCAAACGGACCTAAACGCCATGGAAAAGCATTGCGAGTATAGGACGGAATAAGCCGGACGCCCGATTCCGCAGCCAATCCAAGCCCCCCTCTACCTTCCTCACCCTATGGCGCTTAGGTCCGTTTGATAGAAATACGTCCAATTAATTGACTCCAAATGTCAGCCGTTGAGTTGAGACAAAACATAAAAAAAAAGAAAAAAGATCACAATCTGAGTCAATCGGTCAGTTGTGCTGGTCACAGAATCGTGTTTCGATGCTTGATTCTCGTAGATTTGACAAAAATAATGGGATATTTTTAAATAGCAACCTCATATGTTCAATATAGATCGAGTTATCACGCTTTGAAAAATCCGGTTTATGACGTCATCCGCCGCGGTAGTAACACACTTGGTTTTGTCCATTCCTCATTGCTTTTATCCGGGTTTCACGTTTAGTAACCAGTGAAAATTCGTGTTTCCCTGACTGATGAAAGCAAGGTGAAAGAAACCAAGGGTGTCACTACTGTAGTAAATGATGTCATAAACCGAAGTTTTCAAAGTGCGCGGTATCTCGGTAATATTGAACGGAGAAAGTTGTTGTTTGGACAAATCTTATTATGTACAGCTAATCTACGTGAGTCCAGCATCAAAACACAATTATGTGACCAGCGCAACTGACCCTTTTTGCAAATGACGGATATGGGTTGGGCCGCGAAGCGGTCAGGGGGTGACCCGGACCCCCTAATCTATCAATAATTAAATTAATGCCAGATGTAAACTTGTGTTTCCCAAAAGAGTTGGCTCTTGATAGTTTTCGAATTGACAGCACACAGCTCTGCCGTGCTAAGGAAAAACGCCGTAGGAACATTCGAGAGTTGCCAATTTTCCTCCGATTAAAACCGAATTTTCTGGGAAAATTGCAAGTACTATTTTCCAAAATTTTCAGACAGTTTTTTACGCAATTTAGTCTAAAATATATGAAAATTTCCATGAAAAATAAGTATTCCTCTCCTTTAAAATTGACATTTCATCGAAGGAAATTTGGCAACTCTCGAATTTTCATACGGCGTTCTTTCTTAGCACGGCAGAGTTCGTCTCTGTAGTACAGTTGTTTCCCCTCCTAAATTTCCAAGTAGATCCCAATTTTCCTACAATGATCTCGTGCAAAGGAAATGTTCAGAATTTCTCCGATTGAATTTTGAAGGTACGAGTTTCTCTGTTATGTAATTTTATATTCCAAAGAATGGATCGGAATTCAAGTTGATATATGGCGCTACTGTTTGTAAATAACATTTAATTGTTTTAAGCCATTTTTTTTAAGTTTCTTATAACTTAATGGAAACTTGCTAAAATTTGAAAAACAAAATTAAATGCTCAATGTCGCTTTGAAATGGATACACCTCTTTGTAAATACAGAATTCTGTAATCTGAGCGCGATGTCTTAAACATACATGATGGCAAGGAGAGAATTGATTTTATCGAAGATACAACCCCTATCATTCCTGCAATGAGCTATCAAGTTTGTGCAAACGATGTCGAAAACTGAAAAAAAAACTGTGGTACAAACGACATTTATTCACTTTTTGTCACGGGTTACAGTGAAGTTTTTGTACTTTTAACCATCGAAGTTCTCGCTTCTCTATGCCACGTTAGAGCACGAGTTGAAAGTGTTTTTCAAGGTGTCTCAGAGGATATAATGCAACTTTACGTAAAGTTATACATCGCTATTCAGACAAAAACCAAACTGTCTGCTTAATTTTGTTCTTTAAAATTAACTAATTTGCAAAGGCGTTGTGAGCATTAGTTTAGATTTTGAATTGATTCACTGTAAAAATCCATTACTTTCAATTTATGATGTATGCGTCGGAAGAGATATCATTCTCTATTTCGAAGGAAGAAGTATGTTTGAGTAGCTTGGAGGACAGGGCGCACAAGTGCAGTTTTTGAAAAAATTGGCATTCATAAATTCAATTCTAAAACTAGTTTGAAAGTATATTCTGTGAAAAATGCACAACTAAAATCCAACTTTAAAGCATCGAAAAGTGAGTTTAAACTTCCTTTTTGCCATGAGGCTTCATGTAATTTTGAAACTTTTAACGCGTATTTCTTGAAATAGCAAAAATTGCAATTATGCGCCTTATCCTCCAAGCTTCCTGTATTATGTTGTGGAATTTTTTCTTATAATTGTTTTACACGCAAAATACTATTCCTTATATCATCGAATAATCTCTGCAGATCAGAATTCTAAGTAATTTCCATTAATGTATTTCCTCATTGCAGAAGTACACAAAGGGTTAATGCTGTTCGCCGTTATAGCAGAGTTGTCCCATTTGCAGTACCCATTTTGGTATGTAACTCATCAAACTCAAGTGATTTTCCCTCGTAACAGATTCTCTCCGTTAAGGAAGATATTTTTTTTTTCTTTTGCCTCTAGAATTTTAGATCAATTTATGTCATTCCATCAAAATATGCGGGCAATGGCTCGTATCTTATGACCTATAATCTATCAAAAATTCCTACAGGGTGTTTGTCTTGGAATGGTAGAGCCTTGCTTTAGCAGTTAATTTTCAAGTGCAATGAATTCGAAGCGATCTGTAGACATTTCCCCTGAAAATCTAAGCACGAAGCTATGGATTTTAGTACACTACACCTGTGATTCCCTCATTCCTTACATTTTCTATATCCTAGGAATGTTGTAAGAAATTTTAGCCAAAATGTTTAGACCAAATGGATTATACATGATCAAATATACCTACACAATTCTAATGCCCTTTCTCGCCTCTCACAAATAAGACGCACCAAAACTTTAATGTTGTTCTATTTCGTTCGCATTGTCCGAAAATGAGCTCCTGCGAATGGCTTATTAAGCCTTTTAAGCAATACTTTGCAGTTATCTTTAACACCATGCCTGCCTTACTCGAGCAAGAATCATTCCGGTTATTTTAATTGAATTGATCCACATTTTCTGTAATTTTGAAACTGTCACGTTTCAATTGTTAAGCTTTTATTATAGGGTAAAATTAGACACAATTTTATTTACTTAATTGTATAGAAATTGTAAAAAAATACTCATTATCATTTGTTTAAATCAATCAGAAATATATATATATTCTTAAGTTCATTATAAAATCTGTTCACTCCTTTTTACGTGTGCCTTTCAATAATTGATTCCGCCCGCGTTGATTCGTAGCCAATTTTTCCATCAAGAGGAATGTCCACCGTCGCACAGTGGATCGAGTCAATCAGAGAGGTCCGACATGAAAATTTTTGACAAAAACTGCGAATTTTGATGTTTATTTCGTCACATTTTAAATTTTAAGGAGTGCTTCTGGAAGAAAACCAATGGAACCACTTTTGGTCACTTGGACCACTCCGGAGAGTTCAAATAGTTGTATCATTGCGCCGTAAGAATGTGACGGAAGATTTAAATGAAAATAGCCACCATGCACCCTGGGCGTGTCGATTTCCTCTGAAATTTTTGCAGTGGTGAATGCATAGCTGAAGTGCGCTTCAGCTAGAATTGTATTTACAAATGGGTGGTTTTTCTACGAGGATTAAAAATAAACGAGTGGCACGGAATATAACAAAAGAATATATGAACTATGCAAAACGATAATCCGGGTATCGGAACTTGGCTGATTAGAAAACGCCTGCAAATGCGGCGTGATACCTCACACATTCCGGAGAGTTCAAATAGTTGTATCATTGCGCCTTAGAAATGCGACGGAAAATTACAATTGAAATAGCTTTCATGCACGCTGGCCTTTTCGATTTCCGTTAACATTTTTGCAGGCATGAATGCGCTTAAGTGCGCTTCAGCTAGAATTGTATTTACAAATGGGTGGTTTTTCTACGAGGATTAAAAATAAACGAGTGGTACGGAATATAACAAAAGAATATGAACTATGCAAAACGATAATCCGGGTATCGGAACTAAGCTGTTTTGAAAACGCCTTCAAATGCGGCGTGATACCTCACGCATTCCGGAGAGTTCAAATAGTTGTATCATTGCGCCGTATGAAAGTGACGGAAGATTTAAATGGAAATAGCCTTCATGCAGGCTCGCCACATCTCATCTCGGGCCCTGGTACCAGTTTTAAGGTCCGGGCCCCAAGCACGAAGGGGGGGGGGTCCGAGGGGCATCCCCCGAGAAATTTTAGAATTTATACGACTAATCGGACGCATTTTGAAGCTTTCATAAAGAATTTTTCCATCAATTTCTGCGGAATGATTATGTTTTTTTTTTTTTTTTTTTTTTTNGCGAATTGTTGCATTCAAAACATCTAGAATTTTTTTTTTTTTTTGGGGGGGGAATTTTATACTATTTTCAGTTCTAAGAGGGCCAGGGCCCCCTGGACTTCCCCTTCGTTTGTCTATGGCAAGGGAGTTGAGTCATGAGCCATTGAAGTCGAGGATGCCCAGACTGGAGACTCTTTAGCATCTGAAGACGGAAGAAAATGAAACGCAGTTACTAAAAATATCCCTCTGTACTGAAAATCTTGAAAATAGATAGAAATTTTCCAAGAAGTATATTTCTTTAAAAATTTAAGAAGAATTCTACAGTGCCCCAGCGTGTTTCTGAAAATCTATACACCTTTTGCGAAATTTTTAGGGTAAACTTTTCACTTTTTCTTACGAAACAAGGGTTGCATGTGAATTCGTAGTGGTTTTTCACGGGTGAACCGGGCCCCCTCCGGGGCCCGGGCCCCAGGGACCCAGTATCCCCCCCCCC